CGCTCCCCAGAGCAGAGGGGCTCCAGCCCGCGGAGCATCTCTGTGGCCTCCTCTAGACTCTCTCCAACTGGTTGATATCCTTCTGATGTTGGGGCCCCAGAGCTGGATGAAGCACTCCAGATGGGGTCTCAAAAGAACGGAGCAGAGGGAGAGAATCCCATCCCTTGACCTGCTGGCCATACTTCTCCTGATACAGCCCTATATCACAGAATCAGAGATTGTGATTCTAATTCTAATAAATTCTATCTAATTCAAAAAAATCTAATTCTAATAAAAATCTATCCAGTAAAATCCATCTATCAGCTAATAATTCTAATGGTAGAGTGCATTATTTGAGTAATGGCAGTAAAATATGACTTTTTCCATTTGAATTTGTTAGAAATTAGTACTGAAATCCAGCACTACTGATGCACACAGCAGGCTGGATCCATGCTGCACTGGGGATGCCGTGTCCTCAGCTAGCCATACGAGGACCCTGCCAGAACTGAACTGGGGCTCAGCGTATGTGCCTCTGTGGCAAGCAGCACTTAAAGCAAGTGTGTCTGAGCAAAGCCAGCGCTTCCGTGAGCGACAGCTGACAAGAAACACAGACATGGAAACTTAAATTCTATTGTCCAACTACAACATGGACACCTGCAAACAAGAGTGCCAAGAAAACAAACTTTCAGGAGCTTGAGGCTATTTAGAAGAGTCAAAATTAAATCATTTTAGAAATATTTAGGAAAATACTGATTTGAAAGTAGCCTAAATGCACTTAAACAAAATACAGAGTGAATCCTTAAGCCTGAGGTGTCTGTCATGCATTAAAGTACTTAAATATACAAATAAAACCGTAATTACAGAGAAAAATAAATTAGCTGTTCTTGTTCCGAGGGCCCAAAACTGTGAAGAAGCCTTTTTTTTTAACTGTGTGTGCAGTTGTTTTATTTTTGGTATTGACTCGGGAAGAAAAAGGATCCTGTAAGAGCCAAACAAATGACAGTCCCTTGTCAAGCAGTCCTTTAGAGAACCTTTCCAATGTGTGTGAACTAGTACCACGACTGATGCTTTTGCCAGACTGGGAAGCAGCGTCTGTCATAGCTCCCCGGGAAATATATTGGGAAGTGATAGTGATCAGGACTTTGGGATGCTCGGGCAGGGAAAGAATATGATGATATTGGTAGTGGAAAGGCAGTAGACCTCCTTCCAGCTACTGTCAGACAAGCCTCACCAATCAAAATCCTCTATTAGATGCCTAAATTATATTTCTGTTGGCTACGACTTGAAAAACTTTTTAAAGTTGCTTGAATCAACAGCCCTCTTCTTTGGCTTTGTTTTTCACCTTAGTCAGTTGTTTGTATATCCTCCTGGCCTTCTCTTTGGCTTTATTTCACTGCTGCACGTGCTTTAACTTTCTTCAGTTACTTTCACACTTGCATTTTTTTAAAAGCTAACCTATGACTCCACAACTCTTCATGTCCTCATTCTCCCTGTAGAAAATGGGAAAGCGGTGAATTATTTTTCATCATTTCACATAGATGCCTATCAAGTAGGAGTTTGCTTTGCTCCCTGTTAAATTCAAGATGGCAGCAAAACAGAGGTTTCTTTCTTTTAAATGCGTTAAGCTATTGCCCGGGCAGTATTTCTGTCCTGCTGTCTGCCATCATGAAGGCTTGTCTTCCAAAAGGTTTGAAATTGCTTTGGTACCTGCCTTTAACAATGCTAAAAATATTGACCTGGGAGAGGTCAGGGGTGGCTACGCAGTTGGTAGGAGCACGTAAAGAACCAGTGGTAAGAGAAATGCTGCCTCCTCTAGGCACGAGAGCAGAAGGAAGAATGCATAATAAAATAAAAACCATTATGCTTCTCCAATTTTAAACATTTAATAGTGCACTTATTGAGTATATCCTGTACAGACATCTATCGCAAGTTAAACATTTTCCTTTCTCTCACGTAGCTCATAGTCATGTAAAGCACATTTACAATAGAAAACATACTTGAGGTACAAAAACCCAAAAAGAATATCTGAGGTATAAATACAGGTATATTTTAAATAATCTTTATCATGCTTTATCTATGTTTGACAGTACACTGTGGGCAAGTATACATGTTTACAATAGAATGGTATGTACAACATACAATTTTACAAATTCAAAAGTGTTTGATGTAGAAGAATATACAAGGTTTTCCTACTCATGAGGAACACTGTTACTGGAAGTACTACATTATTTGCCATAATAAAAAATCTTCATCAAAAAGCTTAAAATAATACTGACAATGGTAACAAAGTCTCAGTCAAAATTCCATCTTGCAACTCATTCATACCCTAGCCACAAAATACATTTATCACTTAATACTGCACCTTGAAAGCAATCTTCACCTTTACAGTAAAACCTACAGAAAGACACCTTTCCAGGGGACCTCAAGACTTCCTACAGTTTATACAAGTTGATTCTCAAGGAGGGGGGAATATCCCAAAGGGTTTAAAACCCAACAAAACCCCACTCTCCTCTCTGCCTTCAAATACAACCCTCCAAATTACTCACATCCAGGTTCTGTTTATGTTAACGTGCAGCTTTTAGGAAAACAGGGAAAAGAGGGAGAGAAAGGGAGAGAGCTCGGGTGACTCTTCCTAGACACCTCACCCTACTTGCCACTGCAGGAGTCCTGCCACGTCCCGGCACCGCAACTCCAGTGTTGACTTTTTCCTCTTGAGCGGTTAGAATACAGTAAAATAGCCAAAAGCTCATTAAAACACTTACTTACAGTTAACGCAGGTAGGTGTAAAAGCAACAAACATTTTTTTTTTGACAAATTAACAACTGACGTTACTGGCTCTCTTCACCATTGCATAGGCATTTCAGTTCTAAGCTGCTATGTTGCTCAAAAGTATATTTACTTAAAATTGCTGTAGAATTGCTGATCACTCCTAAAAGATCATCTGGACAAGGAGTGGACAGTTATTGAAGCAAGCCTCTCGTAACATCTACGTAGGGTTTTTAACAAGGTTAGAGCTGAGGAAAATGCAGAGCTGGCACATGGGAAGGATGGCTACTCCTGGTCCACAGGGGAGTCCCATTCTAGGTTGAACTGTATCCAGCATATTAAAATCCATTCTGGTTGCCTATCAGTGTACCAGACACATTTCAAGTTCGACTTCTGCTATCCTTTCAACCATTAACACACTCATTCACACTTTAATCTCTGTGCAAACCTTTCTCTGCTTATCTCAGTGAGAACACTTTGAAGAGTACCAACTATTCCAGTGGATACACCAGTCCCTCAACGCACTACAAATAAAATGACATGGGTATGTACATAAAGCTAAGTATTTCACATGGGAATGATGAGCCCTCACCATATTTCATAATATATTTTGCATTTAAAGAATTTTGCTTCTCAGAAGCAATTCAAACCATCTAACAGTAAATTTTTTTTTTTTTTGCACAGTCCTCCTATGTATTCCAGTCGAGGCCTACACTATAGACCTTACACAGACAGGAAGCAGCTTTAAAGTGTATGGTATGGCCACAGTCCTATAGTAATGCTCACAGTCAAGTTCTCATGCTGTCATCCCTTCACGACGTGACTTGCAGATGGTACACTAGTCCGGTCTGCAGCGGACGAGCCTCAGTTTTGGGTAATGTCTACGTTGCTGAGGTGTGGAGCGCGTGGCTGTTCCTCTTCAGTAGTCACCTAGATTTCACTTCTTTGCTCTCAAGACTCTGATGACTGAAAGAGTCTCGTATCTTAACGACTTCAGATGCACACAAGTGTCCAAAAGACTTGGTGTACCAGTCTGGCATGTGGCCCCTGAGATGTGGAGAAAAAGTAATGATGAGGTAGGTACCAGGAACTTTGCACGCATTTTCTTAGTCAGAATCCAATACATATCCAGCTGGTTAAATCCCCAACTAGGAAATGTCCCTATTACTGATTGCTCAGCTCAGCCTTACTAATGTACAGACTTGCTCAAAACCAAGTTTGCCACAGTAAAGAGAAGTTAGGAGAGTTTTCATGAGAATTTGTTTCTCTTTACTAGCTTAATATTAAAATTAACACATCCTTGCATCCAAGTACATGTGTTGGAGGAATGGGTGGGATCGTATATGAACGGTTATGGTGGAGCGCATGCTGAAAGCTTCTAATGCAGCAAACCACAACTGCTGTTAGATGCACACTGAAGCCAGTTTTCTGTGATGTCTGAGAGACCTGTGTGCATGCCTTTGAGAAGCACATGCTACTGGCCAAGCTAAAGCCTGTTGAACCATCTAAATTTTGTGCTGACTGTACAAAAACTATACGAGAAAAGTTACCGACACAAAAGGACAAAGTGGAAATTCATACCTTAAATCGATTCTGCACATGTAGGTGAGTTTAGATTTTCCTGACCCGCAGGGCTCAATCAGATACCTAGACAGGAGCACATTGACTCTAACGCCTGCCACTGGAGCGCGGTCATGGTCCACTGAGGTTGCTAAAAGCACACAAGCTCCTTTGGGGAAGTTGGTCCTCCATGTTCTAAGAAAAATGAAGAAAACCAAAAAAAAAAGGGTCTTACCTTTGACAGATTCAAACACCTAATAAGACTTCAAATCATACACAAACAGCTATTTACCTCTATAGCCCACACTGTAGATAAACTTTAGGCGAGGTTGCCATATGCGTAGGATATAAACACCATTGCGTATAGAAGCCTTACCTTAAGACTACGAAGTCCCTGGCTGGGTGAGGTGCCATGCTGTTCTGGACATACTGGTATATATCTGTCTGGCTATCCAAAGGTTCGATTACTTTTGAATCTATAAGATCTTCATCCCAGAGGTGTTGCTCTTTAAGTAAACGATTTAAAACGTCCTCAGGCGTAGCTGGGATTTCAATGGTAGTTTTCCACAGCCGCAGTGGGGGACCTTCGCATACCTGGGGAAAATCAGCACAGTCATCAGTTTCACTTTTCCTTATACTTTCTTCTCCGTTCTGTTTTAGTGTTGGCTAAATACAGCAAATTAAATATACACACATGTATGTGTAAATTGTACTAAGCTTGTTGTAGGCTCAGACTAATATTTTCCTAACAGCCAAAGGCTCCTGCACGCTGACTCACAAATTATTTTTAAGTCACGGTTGCCTTCTCCAGCATGGGCCACTATTAAATCATGATGCTACAGAAAAATATCCTAATTTTCCAAGTTTATTTTTTAAATATCTTCAATCTCATTGAAACACTTCTCCCTGTGCTAGCTCCGAGCCGTGCAGGATTAGAGACAAGACATTTCTACCCTACTGCCTGCATAGTGACAGTGCTTGGAGGCTTCATTCCACCTATCAAGGCTTTGCACATGGCAGTAAAGGGGTGTAAATGCAACACTGCATACATTCCCGGGCTGGATAAACAGAACACAAATCAGTGCATGTGGGCTGACTACTGCTGAAAGACGTTGTTTTTAGGAGTGTGCAACTATGTCACAAGATTAAGCACTTTAACTCTGCCTGCAAGGTAAAGGTGTGCACTGAACCTTCTGTATCCTCCTAGGTCAAAAGCCTGCTCATGTTGGAGAAGATGAGCTAAAAACCAGAGCTGTGGCATTCAGTGACAGGGTACATACCTTCTTGTAGGCCAGCTCTGCTTGTTCTGAGGTGGAGCAGCTGACCCAGCCTTTAAACTTGTCCTTCATCTCTTTGAGCAAGTCGTCCATGCAGTCCTGGAGGTAGCAGTGGTAGTCAGAGGGCTCGGCAGTGCTGCTGCTGCCCCGGAGTTCCTCCAGGCTGAGGGGACGGAGGTCCTGTTCCGTGTATGAGTTCCGCCCCCTGCTCATTTCTTCGGGTATCTGAAGGGGGACAAGGGAGAAATCACCCTCTTGCAGCTCTCTCCCCAAATCACAGTTAGTCTAGCAGCTTGATAGCCACAGACAGATGGGTACGCTAGTTTTGTGAGTGGTGGGATGCGTATGTGTCAGGTCACGCACTCAGTGTGAAGAAATGCCAAAATTAGGTTTGTGGCTTTAACTCAAAATAGTCTCTCATTTATGGGGTGTCTTATTTTTTCCTGTGGAGTATCCCTCTTTGCTACACAACTTGGATCCATTCCCACAGCACAGTTTATCCTGCAGACTGAATGAAGGAGGGGTCAGTTGTCAGCCGCAAGAGACGAGACAGGAATGTCTTCAGCTGTGGGCTCTGAAAAGATTTGATGACGGTGAGGAAAACCAGGACTAAAGACTTGTCTGGTTCTCCATCCTGGGCCCTAGAGAGAGCATGCTTTAGTTCCTAAAGACCCTTCAACCTACAGTCTGACAGTGTCACGTTCCAGGACACTTTTATGGCCTAGTCTTGCTAGCTCTTGGAAATTTAAGTCTAAAACCAGCACTGAAATTCCTGGAAATAGCTTTTTGCATTGTAATTAGAGCTGAAGTTCACAGATCCTCATGGCTGCACAATAAAAGCTTGAAAACATATGTCAAATACAGCTTGGATGTAACAAATGTCCCAGACCCCACACCAGCTTCATGACTTTTGGGCGCCACTGCCCACAAAACAACTCTTATTTTCTTCTGGCCCCACTTCTAATTCACGTATGCATCCAGATCAGGGTGCAAAGTTTTTTAAAAAGCTATTTATCATGTATTAAACTTTATCAAAATAAAGAGACATCCATAGCTTTACATTATACAGCAGATCTAAGCCATGTTGGCCAATATTATACCCATCGGTTCTGCAAATAGGTCTTTTACCTGAAAGAGCTTCTTGCATTCAGCAATCATATGAGCGAGCCCTTGGGTTGCAGCCAGATTCTCATTTAGGTCTTTCTGATCAGGTTTTCCCAGGCTTGGTTTTCTTTGCATCACCCTTCACAGGGGAAAAGAGCACAGACACACAAATCCGGTTATTTAACACAGAGCAAGGGAAATGCTTGGTAAGAAAACAGTAGGATACCCAAAGCTTCTGGTGATTCAGAGCAGTGCTGCCTGGGACCAAACCTTGGCATGGTGTCATCGACTTCTCTCACTATTCTCTCTAAACTTTGTCTTTGGAATCCCCCCATTTCTTCCTTCTTATGAACTTCATTATATTTTAACGAGTCTCTAACAAAAGGTAGGATCCCATAACCGTTCTACGCCCGTTGCCCTCTGAGGTGTCTGAGGCGAACACAGCTGGTCGGGTCAACGCTAGACTGTGCCTGTTACACACCGCCTCGAGCTGTGGTACGGGACCAGCGGCAATGAGCCCCGCTCCCCAGAGACATACCTTGGGGAAGAATTCTCTCTTTTGAGAGTGTTTAAGTGGAAGAGGGAAGGTGCTAAGCAGACGGCCAGGTTTGTTGGAGTCATCTGGTTTTCTTTCACTGCAGCTGTGACATCACTCAGGAAATAGAGAAGAATCTGGAGGACCTCCCTGTTCTCGTCGGGTAAAAGCATAATGGCAGCCTTGATAGCCTGGAGACGCTGATCCTTTGGCACATCTGCATAATATTAGTAATTCTCTCATCAGCCCACTGATTTTCCACACACACAGCATGAACACATCCCAAAGCAAACTCCAGCTTCAAATATTTGAGTTGAGTTTGAAGTGATTTCCTTCAGGATGCATACCATTCGTAGGAAACATGAAGGAATTTTTTTTTTAACCCACTAACTTTAACTACCCTCAGCTATTTCCTGCCTCACAAGAAATGCAAGCAAGAAGAAGTTGTGCCTAGGCCAGAGTTAATTTTAGATTTAATTTCAACAGCTACATGCTCCCGCAAATGCACAGAAATGACAGAAGCCTGGAGTCGGGCAATGAGCAAGCAAACAGTCCAGCCAATTTAGAAATTCTTTGGCTTTCAAAGAAATTCAAAACATGAATGCATTTTAGAATAGGTGAATTAACTAAATAAATTGGCTAGCAAACCTTTTCAACAATGATGTCATAAAATATCCAGAAAGTGCTTTACCAAACACAGAGGGTGGCTTTATTGAGCAGATCATTCAAAGTCATGCGGTGGAAAAAGAAAGTCAATGCTGTGAAGCCCCATACCATTAAACAGCTCCTTGGTTACTAACAACAAACAGCCATTGGAAAAATTTGACGTGTGTCTTCATATAAGGCCCTCTCCTCCAAACTCGAAGGGAACAAAAAAAAAAATGAAATAACCCAGACCAGATCTGCTTCTTATAAAGGGATTTCTAACAAGCCATCTCTGAAGACAACACCAGAGTCTGAGTCCTGGAGCGTTTATATCATCATTAGCACCACGCCACCCTCGCTGCAGGTCTCATAATACACATGGTGCTAACCAGATATTTCACTGGCGTTTGCTTTGGGCTTCAACAACTTTGTAAGGCTAGCAGGTGAGTTTAGAAAGCAATTTCAAGCAAAAATCCACTGTTTTTCACACTCTCTGCTCAATCAGCTCAAAGCACATTTAAGCCACGTGAGGACAATTTCAGTGCACAGCCTGGTGCATTCCACCAAAGCAAAGGGAAATTTTGTCCTCTGCAAGGAAGCAAAATTTACAGTTGCTTTAGGGCTTTACACCAAGATAATACTTCCCGACCACCTCTGGAGATTCCTCAGACCTACCGCCTGCGAAAGGAAAGGAACAGATACTTCTGCAGTGCTCTGTCAAACTTTTTCTGGCACTAAATTCAAAGAGTTGCTGTTTGATATGCATGGAAGTGGAGAGTCTGATTAATTTTCTCCATGACCCTTCCTGGGAATCCAAACACACACATGCACAAAATGTGTGCACTGAAATAACTATGTATGTTTTTACGTTGAAGTGTCGCCTCCACCTACAGAGCTCTGAAGGAACTTCCTGTAACCTTTTTGTAACCATCATCATAAGGATGGCACAAAAATACAGCAAGGGCTCAAAGAAGGTGTTTTTGCAGTAAGTTCTGTTGTAGCTGTGCTACCATGGGAAGAATACACAGGGAGAGAGCTGGGCTGGTGTTAAGGAGAGAAGCCGCAGGACCAGCAATGTGCTCATAGTGCATCAATCAGTTTGGACACTCCTGAATATTTCAAAAAATTTTGGAGTTCTGGTCACCAAACTTTAATTCATCTTTGGCCATTTTATAAATTGAGAGTATTCCCAATGAAACAATGCTGAATAAAACTTCTGAAAGACAACGCGCGGTTTGGAAAGATCCAGAACAAAATTACCATCTATACAGAACTCAGTTTATCTAGATCACAAAAGAGAATATGTCTCCCTTGCTGGAGTTGAACCTGCCATCTCAGGAAGAGTAAATATTTCTTTTCATGTGCCTTGATAAACTCCATTTTTGATGTGATTTAGTCTAAGCACTTTCTGGTTTTGGTACCTCTCAGTAAAGTAGCTACAAGTCAGTACCAGAAAAGCTTTCAACTTAAAGGTTGTTTTTAAAAGTTGCAGTGAAGGACGGAAGAATATGAATTATAAGAAAATAGACATTTTTGGCAGCTCTTACAAAAAAAAAAAACCTCAGTAATTTAGTGGAATTCAATCTCCTCAAAAGCCCCAAACTCTGTTTGTGTAGCGTTTGCACAGGTCCTCTACCTAGCCACATCAGTCATGGCTTATTTTCAAACCGTAATATCAGGTATGTTCACAGAAGAGAGGAAACTTTATAGCAAGTGATGGAGGATTTATATTTGTTCCCAAACTACAGAGAAAGGTGAAATGAAAATAACTCGTACTGTAATTCGTTATACAACTGGAATATTGAAAATCAGTTCCTTCTGAGGCAGCCTGAACTGTAATGGCCGTTGGAGAAAGGCGAAGGCCAACCTCTGCAGCACTTGTAGTGCCCAGAGGAGCAGTATTAGAAAGTACCATCCTTGCTACACAAATGCCCGTTTGCCTTCTAGCCGTAGAAATGTCAGTACTTACATTGGTATATCTGCAAGAAGGTCTCGGAGAGTTTGTTGGTCATGAGGGGCTCAGGGAGATCACGGAAGAATTGCTTTAACATGTCCGCTACATCGTAAGCTGACTGGCCTTCGTAGCTGACACTGTCTGTTGAACTCTCATTCATTTGACGCAAAGCCTGAATTCTTGATTTGACTCCAGATTTCCTAAACAATCCAACCTGAATATATATGGAAAGGTAAATACATTCACAACGAGTCCAGCAAATCTGAGATGTAAGCATGCTCTCTAGCTTCCTATGTATGGATTCTAATTTCATGGAAAGCTTTCCTTGCATTAAATTATCTGAGTCTGCTTTTTCAGTCTGACCCAGGAACAATAAAAATTAAGGGAAGGCTGAGTTACGAGTGCTGCGTGCGTGTGGGATGAGAGTTCAGCAAGACCCACCTGATCCAGGCAGTGGTTGCGGAGGTACCGCATGGCTTGCTGAATGCTCTGTGGAAGAGGCTGCCCTGTGCGCTGGACGTTGACTTGCAGCGGTACTCCGAAGACGTTTCGGTCTTTGTAATCTGGCACCTTTATCCTCTTCATAAATTTTGGTACTGCCCTATTTAAAAGCAAAGGGAATGGTAAAATTAAATTAAGCTTCTGTTGACTATCTATTTCCAGTAATTCAGAAAGTCAGTGAAAATAAGTGAAACATTTTAGTAGTATGAAACATAGTGACAGCATAAATTAGCTAATCCATTCAGGGCGGGGAAGGGGAAGAGGACAGAAAACAGAGTTTCTCTAAGAGAAAGGCTTGACATTCAGGCCAGTATGCTGCCTGTAAGTATTAATGTGGTGCTACTCCATCAATATTAGTAGGACAAAAGCTACAGGGTAAAACTGCAGGGGCCAGATTGAATTGCAAGAGAGTCAAAATAAATCCTGCGGTCAGTGACCCTTTATAACACTGCTGCTTTAGGTTTCGGAAAAGATGGGCATTTGAACAATGAGCTTTTGTATGTCAACTACTTGTTCTGCAAAGTCCTCAAACTGGGTCCACCACCCACCAGTGTGCATAACAGCAGGAAACTGATGTAATACGTTTGAGTTCGTCAGCTAAAAACTTCAGCTCTATAAACAACCCCTTTGAGGGACCCCCCTCCTTGTCAGCCAGTGACTGTTGTTACTCCCACCTCCCACTCCAGTTTCAATGAGAGGCCTTTCCATCTGCTTATGACTCCAAGGAAAAAGTTGCTAAATACAAAAGAATGATTTACCACCAGGTCCCCAAGAGTATTGGTTTCATAAAGGGGAAAAAAAAAAAGCCATTAAAATGTGAAAATATTGAGATCATTCTCCTAAACAGGGATAAAAGCTAATGTCCAGTTCAACAACTCATAGGACACAGTAGCACTGGAAAACAGGGAGACCTATTGAACATTCCAGTATACAGTGCAGCTATACAAACACTGCATTAGATTTACAGCTGACTAATCTGTTACACAGTAAAACAGAACCAATTTGTCATATAGCTAAGTTTAGGGCATTATTGATACATGTATGAATAATACTTGCTTTGTCAAAAAACATGCCAATGGAATGTGAAAAAAACACATTGCGATATCCACCGAGAATCTGAAGCATGCAGGGATAACTGGTCAATACTTATTTCTGTCTTTCAGAACAAACAACTTCTGTATTTAGAAAGGCTGACATAATAACAGCCTTTGAGCAGGAGGTACTTTGATGCTGAAGCTAAATACTCTCTATGACTCCTGGGGAAGGGAGGAGGCTGGCCTGTGGTAGGGAGAAGAAAAATTTTATTGCGTCTTTTGCACCCTAAAAGTTACACAGGCTGTACTGCAGATACAATAATAAAAGAGCTTTCTGGGGAAAAAAAGAAAAAAAAAATTCAACTGGGTTAAAAACACCTGGCCATAGCAGAAACTGCTGCCTGCAAAACACTCCATGGTTCTCCCAGCCTTTCTTTCCCTCTACCCCTCATCTATTTTGCAAGTTAACCGAATTTATAGTGGTGGATTTATTGTGCTTTAAAGAGGGGAGAGAGTTTTTTGGCTAATGAGGCACTACAACTAAAGGAAATTGACATTATTTAATGACATAATCATATAAAGAAACTATAGATAGACTATATAGAAACTATAGAAACATACAAGAATAAATGAAGAAAAGCTTAAGATCTGCTGAGGTTTGTGCCACTGCTCGCTAACTGCCTCAACAAACGACTAGTCCTTCTTTTGCTATAGAGAGCAGACACCTCCCTGGACCGAAAGATGCCCTGTACTTTGCTTTTATCTCCTCACACCCCCCTTCTAAACACACTTCTCAAGCCTGCTGAGATTACACTTAGGTTAAGGGTTAGTGATTTTAGCCCTGTCTTAGGAAACCACAAATCACTATCAGCACAGGCTGGAGGAAGAAGTGCAAATATGGAAAAAGAGGGATGGAGGGATTCACTGCATCTTTCCAAAAGCTGCTTAGGACAAGCGCAACTGTCGTGCTTGTATAGCTGGCCTGTCTACGCTTGGCACTGTGCCCTTACCAGCTGAAGCCGTGCTTGTTGGAAGGCGTGTACTTCTCCAGGAGCGCGGTCAGCTTCAGGAGAGAGTACTTCTGCAGCAGGTTCATCTGTGCCACGGACTGGCAGTTGATCTGCAGCAATGCCGAGCTGAGGCTGGGCCGGTGGGAGCTCTGGAAGCTGTGCCACCTCAGCCTGTGCCTGTGGAGAAGATGGGGGACAGAGCAAGGACCAGTCACTGACATCCTTTTTCAGAAACCCTTTCAGTATTAAGGCGGTGGGAATCAAAAAACTCCATTACTAAAAAACAGCCCACATTTTTAAGACACGTCAAATGTCTTAGAACCGCAAGCGGTTCTAAAATTCCCATCAAGTTTATGCAAGCAGCTGTAGGTAACTAAACGAAAGCAGAAACCAGAGCCTGAATGATTTGCACCAGTTTTAAAGGAAAACTGGAAGCAAAGCTAGAAGGACTTCAACTCCTTGCTGTATTCACAATAGAAAATACAGTCATCCATCCCACGGTAAAACTCCCAACAAACTGGGAGGCCACTGGAGCTCCCCCACTGTGCTACAGCAATCAAGGGAAAGTAAACAAACCTCATTTTCCCTGCAGATTTAATGCCTTAGCACGCTATTAAGAAACAGCCTGCTACTGAAAAGTGCAGTTTTTTGAAACAGTCTAAAAAGTCAAGGCTTTTACTACACACTGACACAAACCAGACCATACTTATACTGGTTCTCCTAGGTAACTTAAAAAGTGAATAATCCTACTTGAGGTCCCTCTCCCTCCCACACACCATTTCAAGTTTGAAGAATCACCATCCCTCAAAACTACCTTAACATCGCTCCCAACGCTGACTTGCTGCGAGGGCAAGTGACGGCTCAGGCTCAACATACACACATACAGCTACGAAATGTGGGAATCACTTGTCTGAAGGGCTTGCACGTATACTTCCCTCACCTACGATTCTTTCGGGAGGTGATGGGAACAGCATGTACGTGCTTGAACGGGCACAGCTTCTACTGCACCTTAACTGAGCGTGGTGTAGCTACTATAGAGACACTTGTGCCAAAGAGGGGACCTCACCGGGGCCACCCCAAGTCCCAGCGCTCATGATCTCACCTGCTGGACCTTGTCAGTGATGCGCCCACCCCGGAGTCCCTCCTGTCCTGCATCCCCGAGGGCTCTTCCGTTTCGTTCAGCGAATTCCCTGTACTGTCAAGGTCACTTGGTGTTGTTCGATCGTTATCTACATCAAGGTGGATCTGCTTTGGAGAGGAAGGACACGGGGAGATGGAGTCGAGGGCCGAGTCAGAGTCCCCTTCATCCGAGAACTTCTCTGACCACTGGTTTACTATTCTCTGCATCCCTTTGACATGGTACAGGATGTCGTCTAGTTCTGGGAATATGTCTTCGTTTTCGAGGTCAGCCAGGTCACTTGTACTGGAATACAGGATCGAGCCAGGCACGTTGTCGTAAATACTCAGCCGGCTGCTCACTGAGCTTGAGGAGTTGCGCCTTTTCCCCATGCCCAGCTCTTTGGAGCTGTCGCCGCTGTTTTCCCTCCGGAGGGTGAGATGGCCATGTCCGTGGAAACTCCCTGTCCTCCAGTTCACAGAGGCATTGCTTTCTGTTGGGGAGAAGTTGCCGTTGGAGAGTGCTTTGGGGAAAGTGCCGGGCTTATGATCTTCAGGGATAAAAAAAACTGTGTCTTCTGCAAAGCTTCCCCGGTTCTTGAAGTTCTGCTCCATCACGTCGCTGAACGTTGACTGGTTGAAGGGGTCAAAGCCTTCCAGGTACATGCCCACCCGTTTGTTGTACGCACTGAGGCTGCGCGTTCGCGTGACGGGACTGGGTGTGCTGACGGCGCTGCTCGTCTCGGACTGACTACTGCTGCTGCTGGTCTGGGTGGAATTGGAGACGCTCCTCTTTCGTACCATAGGGAGGCTGATGTGATTGCCGTTGAGGGCAGAAATCTCCACGCAGTTAAGTTGTTTCAGTTTATCTTCATCCATGCCCTCCTGCAGGATGGGCCCACTAATAATAAGGCCGAGCTTTGAAGGAGCTTTGCTCTTGCCATGGTGAGACTTGATTTTCAGGCTCTCCATTCTCTTGAGCAGGCTCTTTGTTTTGGACTTGGCGTTCTTCTCGTTGGCTTTCGTGTTGAAGCTGAAGCTACTCAGCTCCCTGGGCGAGGGCAGGCTGCTGAATGAGTCATCATTCGCTACCAAATTGCTGGATGAGCAAACGCTCACGACCGAGTTTGTCCTGGTGGTAGATGCCTCGCTCTGCAGGGTTGGTTGGTGGCTGCTGGTGCTGCTGATGCTCAGAATAGAAGCCACCTCCTGACGCTCACTGAGGTCAGTCAGCACGCTCTCGCGGCTTGCCGCGTTAGTAAGGTGAGGAGCTTCCGGGCAGGGGGTATTCAAGTCCGGTTTTGGAGGGAACACGTCAAACTCTTCAAGCCTTGACCACCTCTTGCTGTCCCTCTGAAAAGTCCATTTGCCGCTTATTGCACAGGGTTCATCTTCGTCCGAATCTTCGCTCTGCAAAGGAGGAGAACCCTGAAAGAACTGCTTGCAAACTGCCCATGGAGCAAAGGTGGTTGCATTTAAATACAATACTCACTAAACTGCTTTAAGCATGACCTTGTTCTCACTGAATTTAAAGTGGAAACAGTCTCTTTTACTTCAGGGAGATGAAGATTAGGCCATAAAAACCATCACAGGAGAAGATAACATGGAACAGGCAATATGTTTTAACTGGTTTTAAATACAAAAGATATACCCTTCATAAAAAGAAACAAACAATACAATCTGCTTTAAATTGCTCTTTTCTAAAAACCCTTGTATCCATAGACTTTTAATTAATTGGTCACAGTGGATAGCCCTCAGATCAATGGAAATTCCTGGCATGCATAAAATTTTAAACTGGAGTCAGTCGGGGGTTGGGGTCCCTCTGGACTCTCTCCAAAGTTACACTCTGTTGATAGTGGCTGTGTGTTTATACTCCTCTTTGCAATTATGAGATGTTTCTCATACGTTCTGAATTGTAGCAGCTTAATTCCTTACCCATTCGGGAAGTCTGAAGGGTCTCCTGGCTGTGACTAATGAGACAGCAAGAGAAACTCTCGCACTGCAAGAGTGTGATGCCTTCCGGCTCTTACCTGGTCCACTCTTCCTCCCACGGGCTAGCAGCTAACATTTTAAGAATGTCCTGTGAAGTTTCTACTTCAGTCTCGCTTCAGGCAAACTTTAACACTCCTAGATAGCGAGCAGCAAGAGCTCACTGACAGTACAGCACGTAAGTAAATTGTAAATAACATCTCCACTGATGATGTTTGATGTATGAGTGATGCCCGAGGGCACAATTACACGTACATCACTTATGCCTGCAATCTTTTCATCTAAATACTGAAAGGGGAATGATCCTGGGACTGACATATTTGGTCTTCCAAATATCTGGAAAATTTCACGTTCGAAGAACAAAACCAGTGAAGACATTTTAATACGACACCATGAAACCACAAAATAACCCTTGGTGTTCAGAGTAAGCGTTTCACTGAGTTTGTTTAGATTGCTTTAATTTAAAAACAAACACACATGCACGCCCCAAGCTGTAACTGTTTGTGTGCCAGGAACACAAACATCATTCCCTGAAAAACAATTAAATCATTCTTATTTCAAGTGTTTTATTTATGTACACTTCAGCTCCTGATTCTCTCCTAGGTTTTGGATTGTTTCTTTTTAATAACACATTTCGTTACCTCAGAATGATAAGTGAAATACCACATTTACTTATTCTGACCAAATACACAGAAAACACAGAGCAAGCATCACTTTCTTTGTCTCCCAGATATTACAAACTACTTCTGTCCATGACTCAGATGAAAACCTATGAGCACTCGTTTGCTTATTTAAAGTTTTCGGGAGAAAAAAGTCACCTGAAACTGCCAATGAATAATAATGATGATGGTTTGGTGGTGAACGTGGTTTGACTGGAAAAAAAAAAGGAGCAGTAAAGTGATCTTAATTTGCAAAGAGGTCAGTGCAGACACAACAAAACATATGTTTCTGTCAGCACAGTTTTTCCCTAGTGTTAAAAAGCTTTAACGGCTAAGTATTGATTTTAATGAAGTCAACAACAAAAGGGAATAGGATCCAAATCCATCTGCCAGAACATGGGTGGTGAATGAAAATCAGGAAGGGCTGAAACAAAAGGTAACATCCAGACTCCGGAAGATCTGGGGTTTGGACATGGAGTCGTGTCTGGTCAGACCTCTAACAGCAATACTGATCATTCCAGTGTTAACAAGGTTCAGGAACAAGGAGGAGAAATCCTCTGGCAGTCATAAATGACAATCCAGCTGTCTACTCCTACTTTTAAAGAGTTCCTACATGCGCTGCTTCAGAGTGTTATCTTCTGGAGCTTGGATGCTGTT